AGATAACACAGTAATCAAAAACCTATTTTCATGTTTAATTACTTTAGTTAATGTACATACGTAAAAGAACTTCAGGTAAGTGTGTTAGACTTTTAAATTATTTAACAGTACGTAAAGTGTTTGGCGGTTTTTAATAATAAATAAACTAGTGCTGCTACAACAGTCCTTATTTCTCGCATTATTTCTCAAATGTAAAAATCTCACCCAAATTTCTAACAAAATCACGGTGACCAGTAGGCTCTACAGTACATTGAAGAGTTTTTATACACCACAGTGACAAATAAAGTATTAGGTTAGTGTTATGAAAATATGTTCATGTTCTATTTCATTCTCTCTTCGCTCTACAATCTTGGTAACTGTATTTATTTCAACATTATATAAAGCGCTATCACCACATACATACATTTGCACCTTTAATTTAAAGAGCTACTATGAAAGTGGGGAGATTGGGATAAAAGTTTTTGGTGGAAATAAGAACGAATACAAGGATAGTTGAATTCGTTAAAGAGATGAAATAGTACCGCAGAGATTTATTGCCAACGGAAACATAAAGCGAGGATTTTAATAACACTCAACTGAGGAAACACATGCCGTTTACGTTATTCCAGATGAACATGCATCGCGTCAGTGCATGAATTTACGTCAAGGATTCCGTTCCTTTCCTAAGAATACATCAAGCTAAATTGAGGAACGTCCGTGAGTTTATAAAGAGCAGTTCATTGTGGGCCAACGTATCTTCAGTTCACACGCGCTCCGAAACTTACGTTGGCTCTGTAGTAATAAACCATAGCATTCTTATAGAAATTCGTCCATTGTAATTACTACATTCCCTTGCGCTGATTTCCCAAAAATCCTACTTACCTACAAGTACTACTAGCTACAAATTTTTACGTAGGCTTGATGAGAAAATATATTCAGCTGTTTATTTTTATAATTGCAACAATATAGGAAATGTATACAAAAACAATGTTCTTGGCCAAGTTTCAAACAACAGGAAGGGTTTCGTTAACTTCGTCTTTACCACTGTGGGTGTAAAACCTAATTTTGGTCTTTGCTCACTGCATTCTGTATACATATTCGTACACTTTGTATTTATTTCACCCCAACGCCAAGGATACCCGTCCTCACCCTGACCTACACCGTTGCCACCATCATCGTTGCTAAGAGCAGCTGCAAACAGATGCGTTGTTGCTTACTACCGGCAAACGTTTAGTAACAAATTTTGATTTGAAATTACTTGAAGCGTTCAATGAACTATATTTAGTGAATATATATGCACAACATCTAATGAATTTTTGAAAAACCATAATTAGAGATACTTTGAAGCTCCTCGCTAAACAAAGAAACACATGTATGTGAATATGTAACTTTGACGTGAGAGACATTTCTAAAAAAATACCTTATTTTTGAAAAATTGAACAACAACTCAAAACGCCGTTTATGTCATGTTATGTTAGATTTTTTAGTACTATCCGTACAAAAAGTCTAAAAATAATTGGAGCAAGTTTTGAAAAAATTATGTTTTTAATACTGCGTATATTTTATTTAAATCGCTCGAAAACTATTAATATTTTTCACAACATATGAGTGATAATAATTGAAGAACTAATTCTGGACAAAAAAAAATATATAAAAAGAACAATTTTCTATGTTCAATTATGTAGTAACTTTTATAAATTTCAAAATTTCGGATATATCACTGAAAATTGAACATATGGCCATTCTTTAAATTTCTTTCACTATTTTCTGAGAATAAATTTAAAAAAATGTGTAGTCAGTTTTGAAAAAAATTGAAAATGCCCTAAATATAAAGTACCCCCAAGACTTAAAGATATTTTTTCAAAATCGTAGGACTTAGTTCAAGCAGATTGATGGAGAGAGATTCATTTTGGAAAAAAAAAATCGAACAAGTAGATCAGTCACTAGTGATGTTCATAGATGAACGAACGTTGTTTTTTTAAGCTTTTTAGATAAGGACCAAACATCGTGGATTCTGACTGCTTTGAGTATTAGAGAAAGACATTAACTGGATATGTCCCCAACCAGGAAGAAATATCGTCTATTAGGGTTCCAGTCAGTCTCACGAGTTTTTCTGTTGGAAAAAAGCGCTTTCCACCACGGCCTTGCACAACTTTCTCTACACCACATATATTACTATCTATTCACATATACCGAAGGTAGAAAAAGAACCAAATTGGATACGAATACGGGAATAGCATGGAGATATGTCGAGCAAGACGACAACACCGAGATGGTAACAATTCGAACGCCACACATGAATATGCGCACGCCTCGTTAAATCAGCCTGTCGATTTGTGGTTTCGCAGTTAACAGTGACTGTCCTGACGTTTCTTTGGAAGTAAAAACTTGTGTCAGAAGTGGGATTCGAACCCACGCCCACAGAAGTGGACTGCGACCTGAACGCAGCGCCTTAGACCGCTCGGCCATCCTGACATGCTCTTGCAATGTCGAGTTCTGATAGTGTTCCAGATGGATCGTGTCTGAGCACGGGCTGCCGGAATTACCGTGCATCGCCCGGGGCGCAACTCCTCTCGGCGCGCGCGGAGCAAACGGGCGCCCATAAACTTCCGCGCGGGGCGGCGATGCATTCCTCGAAACGGCTACACTTCCGCCCGGCCCCACCAGAGCGCGCTGGGCGCGTTCGCGCGCGGGCCCCCTCCCGCTCTGACGCAGGCGCTGGGGCCGCGCGGGCTCCACGCACGCGGCATTCGGCGAATCCCGAGCAGTGTGGACGGGGGGCTTGCGATTCGCAGAGCGCCGAACATTCGGCGTCCGTCGATCTTTAGGACGAACACCTCAGCTATTCGGGATTGGGCGAGCCGTAGCTCGCTGCTCGGCGAATGCCGAATGTGTGGAGCCGCCTTAAGGTTCTGACATCGATGCCGAAGTTGCCGGAATATTGATGTTTCCATACAAATATCGATGTTTTAAACATCTATGTATTGAAACCGATTTTTTTTAACATCTATATTTTGTGTTCGATATTTTTACGATTTCGACAGTTAGTTCGTGGCTGAAAATATTACCTAGTCACAATTTTCTAAAAGTTAAAATATGAAAAAATAACTGATAGCATCGCTGTCTGTTTACCAAACAAACAAACGTGATTCGTGCTATTTTCTTCGTGCAGACTGTCCCTAGCACGAGATGATCCTGTTGCCGTGGTATATACTTCGCTTTTCCTCGTATTCCGCATTTCATGAAAGGCATTTTATAACTTTATTTACAGTTAAATTTTAATTATAAGTTACTAGAAAAGGCAACTGTCAAATATAATTTTCTTGCGTACGAATTTAAAGTCAGTTACTAAACCAGCTTTATACATCGATGTTTAAAAAACATCGATGAGTTTTGGTTGATCTAAATGAGAACTTTCCTAAATGAGAACTTCATTGACAATAACTATTATATGAGCTTGCTCTTTGACCTAAGTACTCGCACATGAGGAATTATTACTATCTGAGTGAGGAATTCATCACAAATTATCATAATATTTGCATACAACAATAATTACAATACAATACAACATTTGCATACATGTAAGATGATATTTACGTATACGTACGATGGTGAATATTTACAGAGGAGTAAGACCCTTGTGTATACCTAAAGTGTGTGTAAAGGGCGTCGCCTAGTGGGTGTCAAAGTTGACCACAATTTTCAAAATATCTGAAAAACACGAGTTTCCGTCGTACAATTGATTGCAGTGATTCCCGGTGGGTCAGCTGTCAAGGTCAATAGTCCTGTAAGTGTAATTCACGTCTTTATCGAGGAAGGTGGCGGTTATCTCCCCCCGCTGATTGGCGAGAACCAGCGCCGACCTACACGGGGACTTGCGAGGTTTTCCTCAACCAGGTATCTCCCACCAGCGTGGCACAACCCCAGTCAGGACAAGTTCTAAACTCCCGCCTGGTCACCCGATATGTATGGTAGTGTAGTGCATGTTGGTGTGTATGTAAAGGGAGAGGATAGGCCAAGGAAGAGGAAGGAAAGATCGCGCACGGTCCGTAACCCGTTCGTTATAGAACTGCTTCGGCGTTTCCCTGGTATTAATTTAATTAGAACAAAACGTAAAGTGTTGAATTCAAGCAGCGGAAGAATTTATTTTGTAAACAGGATTAGTTATTTTCGTTGGGAAACTATTCCTATTAAATGACGGGTATAATACGTAATGTAAATGTATTTAAACGCGTTAAAATAATGAGGATTTGAAATGTTGAATCTGAAATAAGACAATTTCGTTGGTTAAATTCAAATGGGATCCCATTTAACATTTATGATAAGAGAGTTTGCATAGGAGTCGCATTGAAAAAAGAAGGTATTTGAATAGGTGAATAGTGAAAGATCAATCAAAGAGTTTTATTTTTGATATTCAATTCAAGATTGAATAAACCTACGATTTTACTAGATTTCGTAACTGTGTCATTCGCATCCGATTAACATACCAAAGTTTCTCCCTACCATGAGCCCGGTACCTCAGGTTCTACAAATTTTATTTTACGATATTTGTGCACGTAAGTTCCGTCACAATACAAAAACATCTGCAGGATTACCAGTCAATGCAACGTAGCGCAGCCATCGCATCATCACATCGCATCGCTGCATCAAGCAGAGTCTTTCCTTATGACATAAGATTATTACCGAAGTTCTTCTAAGTGAAAATTATTGCTACATAAACCTGTGATATACTCCCAAGTAACCAGTGCAATAAACGATTCATGGAGTTTCAATATTTAGTTGTTCAGTTCTACAGTGATTATAAAATCCTTTCTTTGAACTACAAATAAATATTATTTATTTTGTTTATTTTCCCTTCATTCCGAATTTTGTTGGATCTATGGGGTTCCGATCTCTGGGATTCTATTGTACTTCTGTAAGAAAAAATGCTACAAAAATAAATCTTAATTTTTATAAAGCTATAAAATTAGAAGCGTTGTTTTCAAAATGCGAATTAAAAAAAATATAGAGCTAAATTTTACCCTCAGTAATCACAATTCAACAGCAGCATCACATGCTCTGTTCGCACTGAAGCAACTCCTCCGCATCAAGGATCTCCAACGAAAGGAAATCTTCTTATCGAAACTCACGACGAAAAGGTACATAGCTATTCAAATATCCACAGCACACGGGGGAGGAATCAACAAATGGATAAGACATACCACCTGGAAAATAAATACGATAAGAATTCTGAGGAACGAATCAGCTTTATGCTAAGACTCCGGTAGATCATGCTGCTTTAAGGACGTGCTCAAATTTTAAGTTTTCATAAACATTTTATTCTCACTAAAATTCTGCAATGTTTATGATACATTAATGCTGATTTCTTGTTAAGAAAGAATTTAGAGTTTGTAAATGTAATGTAAATAGTTAAATAGAATCACTTGTTGTACAGACAGACATTGTTTCACGATATCCATACATTGTGTACAATGTAACAAATTCGAATTATACGAAAACTTAGTGTAAGTGCAAGAAGAGTGATCAAAACAAACAGAAACTCTTTGGGACCAATATTGCTTCTAAAGATCTCATTTGCTGTATATCTAAGTTTCCCGTGATTCCAGCAATCGAGCACTCGTCGAGCATCAGCAATTCGTTCTCTCTCTCGTCGAGCTTGCTTTCAACTGGGCTGACATTTAATGTTGCGGTAATGATTTTCGTCAATTCTACAACATCGGTTTCAAAATCAACACAGAAAATAAAACAGAAAGAAGAAAGATCCAAGAAAATGAAGTTATTTAATCGGCTGAGACAACCCAGGGCAAAAAGTTGTACCTCTGACCGGGCACATTTTTCTATGGAATGTGAAATGTCAGTTAATATTATTCATTCCCGAATGCCTCAATTGTAAACTGCTCACGGTGACAAGTTTCCGACAATAGCTAAATAGCCAAGTCGTATTCAGTCACTGTCTGGACGAGAATCCTAGCGACCGGCTGCTCTGATGCGAGGTTTTCTCTAGTTTCAATCAATACCAGGCGAACGCTGAAGTGTTACCGTAACAAATGGGCCATGGACCGCGCGTGACCTTCCCATCGTCTTTCTTGTCTGTTGGCGCCACCTTATGGCACCATTAATCACACACTTGTCGTGCATTCATGACCACAGCTACTGACCAGCCCGGAAATACAAAATAGTGAATGAATCAAAAGTTGTTATTATTGGTACACAAGAGATGCGCAGTGTCTCTAATACTCAGAGAGTTTAGTGGAATTCTGCATATGCATCAACATAAAAGATAGTGAAGATCTTAGTCAGTCAAGGAATATTCCCGGACGGCCATTTGTCTTGCATCCCACACATAAAAGTAAAATATGTTCCGTAGATTAACAACTGTTCCAAGTAGAAGCATTTCATGTGTAAATGATGGCATACAACACTTAGGGTGAAAAGGGGCTATTACTTTCAAAATTGATATGTGGTATCTCCGTATTATAAGAGGTTCCAAGAACATTGAACCTTTGGCAATAAAATTCACTCGCAATTCATGACGTGAGCAGATCATGTAGACGCTGATGTCACATTTTACTGCGAAACGCCAGTTAATAATATCCCGAATGCCTTCATTGTAATTATGTAAATGTAAATGTATTAATGTGATTATGTGAAGCAGGTCTTTTGGACAGGGCTCGCCATACATAAACACAACTTTATCATTATAATATTTATGCATCATTTATTCATGTATTTATTTACCTCTTTATTTAAATGGAGGACAAGTGGTCCGTGCACGAGGGCTGTGAGAGGGCCCCGCCGCGTCTGTCCCAGACGCCTCGCACCAGCGCAGAAAGTGGTGTTGGGAACAGCCAGGGGCGGATTCAGCCGATCTTTGGGGGAGGAGGCCATCGTATATTTTTGGTAAATAATGAACAAATATGATATTATATTGTATATTATGTATCTACTATAGATATGAAACTGTATAATATTATTGTTTAAATAATTACGTCATTCGAAAATAAATATTTAAATCAATTTTGACAAATAACGAAAAGTAAACGAAAACTCCCTTTAGGGGGGGGGCATGGCTCCCATTACCTCCCCCCTAGATGCACAAGTGGGTACAGCGGCAACACAGCCAAAAAATCGTTCAAATACTTTAATCAAAATATTTCTCCTATGTTTTGAACAGAGATATGAGATAAAAGAGATTTCTGAACTTTAACAGAATATTTCCAACACCGACACGCTATAAACAAAACTCAAAAAGGGGGCGCCATTGAGTGAAAAGAACGTGGGGCGAAGCCCGCAGCGGGAGAGACAAAGGCGGAAGAGCAAGTCAACAGAAGGCAACAATTGCAGGAACACGATGAGAGACGGGGCGAGCGAGCGAGCGACCCGGAAATCGGCGGAAGGCTCCTCCGAGCGCGGCGGACGCTTCCTGATGCCTCCGCGCAGGCGAGCGGCGGCG